AAGATTCACCCTTTCGTAGCTACCTGTTAGCAGGTGTTCCCAGCTATGGGTCTCTTGGGTTGGTTTCCTCCTCTCCTCTGCTACCTCGCTGCGCCTGGGGTTTAGATCTTGGACCTTCTCTCTCCTTTATCTACCACCACTCGTCTGGTGACTGCACTTATCTGGATGGATTTGAGGACCACCAGTATGCTTAAGGTGCAGCCTGGACCTGACTCCCCACTTGACCATCTGCCATCACCACTTGCGAGTCTAACAGGCATCTCGAAACCTACAAAGACTCCAGGTTCCCCCGAGTGCCTGCGTCTCCTCCCCATCTCACGTGACCACAACTTCATCTCTCCAGGTGCTCAGGCCAAAAGTCTCCATCATTTCGGACCCCTCTCTCTCCTGCCTTCACAGCTATTGGCAGTTCTTCCTGGTTCTCCTCTTCAAGAGATCCGGGTTCTGACCACGTACGTTCTCCAACCCACCCCCACCTCCCGCCTGAACTACCACTAATGTCCTGCTCTCCCCATTACCTCCCTTCTCTGCACAGCAACTAGAGTGATCCTGCTAAAACCTAGGTCGGATCCTGTCACTATCGTGCTGAAACTCTCCACGAGCTTCCTATTTCATTCAGAGAAAAAGCCAAAGCCCTTGCAGTGGCCTACAGGGCACAGGCAGCGTGATCCCCTCTGTCTCTCTGAGCCCATCTTGTTGTTCATTTTGCACCCGCCGCTCAGGCTGTCTGGCTATTCCCATAACATGCCAGGCCCGTGCCAAGCACATGCCCACCTCAAAACCTGTGTTCCTTGACCGTTCTTCCCCTGGAACCTCCCTCCCCCGCAATCCACAAGGCTAATTCCCTTCTTTTCTCTGGGTCTCTGCTCAAACACTATCTCAGTAGAGAGGCTTCCTTGACCATCCTATTTAAAACTGATCCCCTCCCTCCCAACCTACGCTTTCTTTTTCTCTGTAAGACTTATCAGCTTCCAGCACACTATGTAATGTGTGCATTTAAAAAATATTCTTAAAGTTTACTTTCTTGACAGAGTGTCCAAGTGGGGTTGGGCTGGTGGGGGGGGG